ATTAAAAATATAATAATAACATCACCCCAAAACAAAACCCGAAGCAAAAATAAAATGGGCAACGAAACAAACGATGGGGGGACAAGTCAACCATTTCTTTGGGTTGGGCCTATGCCATTTGCAAGGAAATTTTTCTTTGGGCTTAGCTGGGTTTAGGACTTTAGCAAATTGTCCCAACCATTTCTTCCATTGGGTTGGGTTAGAATTGTCCTGCATTTTGTTTCTGTGTAATTGTGTCTTTGATTCAACCTCTAAAATTTTCGTTACCTTCTTCTAGTTTTGGGTTAAAAATGATACCAAATCACCAAATCTTGTAGCTCATCTCCACTTTCCGACCTCAAAGATCTGCGAGCAACATTGCAAGGCGTTACATCTTCTCCAACCCTCTACCGCCGACTTATCCCTCTTCCGGACTTGGGTCAGTAGCCAGAAGCCGGAAGTACCGACCTAGATGAAGATTCCGTAATCCCTTCACTTTGTAGTTGGATTGAGAGCCAGACCAGCTAGGTTATGCACTTCCCTAATGGAGAACCTGATTCTGATGTCGATCGAGTTTGTGAAATCCTTAAGAAAGAGTATTCATGGTACGATAAAGTTGTTGAAGCGCTAAATGGGTGCGAGGTAAGTGTGTCAAACAGCTTGATAGAGAAGCTTTTGAAGAGATTTGATAATGATTGGATTCCAGCTTGGGGGGTTTTCACTCTGGCAAAATGACAGCAAACCCCTGAGGGAATGGTACCCTATCAGTTAACATACAAAGTGCTGGTAAAGGTTAGTGAAAGGAACATGGTTGAAACAAAGCAATGGATTGAAAATTTGATGGTCCAGACAGAAGAGCAAAGGAAGCAGCGAGTCCTTGGTGTATAAACATAAACGCTCGTGTTAAATTATCTTCTGCATTTCATTTAGAATTCAATACATATGAAAGGAAGGTTTATTCCATTTTTATTTATTTGGGGACAGAATTGTTCCCAAGAATTCTAAAATTGAATACATAAATAAAAAGAATATCACAGTTCCCTCCCACTTCTTCAGTGGCGGAGCCAGAGGGGTGCCAGGGGGGGCGCTCGCCTCCCTGAAATTTGAAAATCTTGTATATTAGTATATGAAAAATTATCTAACCTCCCTTAAACTTTGAAAATTTTAGTATTTTGCCCCCCTGAAAAAAATTTCTGCCTCCGCCCCTGCACTTCTTCCCAGTGCCTTTCTCTTGTAGGCGTCGTTGGAGAACAGAGAATTCAAGCTAGAGCGTGTTGATAACTTTCTTATGTTTGGCTTTGGCCAACAGCCTAGTCTCTCTAGGAAATCTTCAATTAACCTACAGAGACATTTCATCTTCGTAAGGTATCAATAGGAAGCAAGATACAGTAGAAAGAAACAAAACAAAGGCACTAACATGCTGCTCGCTCCCTTTTGCGAAGATGCCAGTTCGTGGTCAGGGAAAGAATCTTCAAATCGAAAACTCAACCAAATATAGAGGTCCAGCACCTTCAGTTGTCCCAAAGAAAAGATGAGGTTTTAGCAGCTTCAAGGTTCTATTGAATTGTAAGAAACATTATACAGAATCAGCAAAGAGAGTTAGAAGTGAACACATGACAACATCACGTCTCAGGGAAGATGGGATCAACAAAAGCATCATGCATTGGATCTGACAACCAGAGTTTAGCTATGTGATGGAAGATGTGGTGCGCCGATAGGCTTCTTCAATGACCCATGTCACGTCCCAACACAAAGACCAAGGCATGACAAACGCCACACATCTATATAGAGATGACCCCATAGGCGTGTAAGGCTACCACATCTAAACAACTTTAATAACCAAATGTAGTAAAGTTTAATTCTATAAGAAACTCCATCTTTATTAACATGTACAATAAGTCATGACAAACACTTGACCCTCACTTCATAAAATCAAACATAAATCTCATAGCAATAAGTCATAGCAAATAAGTCTTCATTTCTGAATATCCCACAATCCAAAAATAACTTAAACTAAATCAAAGAACTACTCTAAGATTGTTGTGCCTCTCACTCCCAAATACAACCCCAAATGCTCACTCTTCTATACTTGAAATGAGATGAGATTTTGAAAGCATAAGCTAGATAGCTCAGTGAGAGTATACCTTTCTAGTTTGATCAAACATTATATTTCAGCGAAAATAATAATTAAATAAAGTAAACAACTTCACAATGAGAAAACCACATTACAAACCAGATGAAAAAGAAAACAACAAATACAAGTTCTTTAGGTTGCATCACACTCCAAATCACACTCCATGATAAATAGATCCCGAGACTACTATCAATACCCTCAGTATACCCTTGAGGAACGGGTTAAGTTAACCAACCAACCAAGAACACGAAAACTAAGTATTAAAAATCATTACCAATTTAATAAACCACACTCTTCGATAGGATATAGTCCCACTCAAAATGCTTGATCAATACTTATCTCATTTCATTATAAAATATTTTTATTTTTAAGACATAGTAACCAAATAAGATTATATAGAACTACATTGAAAAGGTAAAATAAATTTTAATAAAACAAACATTTTAAAAGGCTACTAAAGGGTATAACAACTTACCTCAATAATCATCTTTCAATTGCAATTACCATACAGTTATTTGAAACCTAAATAAACATCAAAATAAACATAATTCAACTATTAAATAGAGTTTATTCTGTATTTATCAAGCATCTACATGATAAAATTTCATAACCATGCCACATTCGTCTCTTTTTCAAACCCAACCATTTCAACTTACACTATTGAAACTAACAACCTAAATAAATAATTTCCCCCTTGAAAATTCCTCGTGCCACCACCCAAATTCACAATCTTATTGTTAATACTAAAATCCATTTACTACAGTAAAATCAATTTCACCAAACCATGCTTCTACCCGAATTCTTCATTTCCAAATTCCTAAATATTTTAAGTTTAAGAAGACAATTTACTTTGGATTAATCTAGTATGGCAGATCCCTAAGCTATGTCCCCCTTTCAGACAAGAGGAAGAAGACGGCGATCCTGTTTCTTGAAAAGAAGAAAAAGAATGAAACTGCCGAACAATCTGTTTTGGGTTTTTTTACAAAAGGGAAATATTGCCATTTAGTCCCCGAGCTTAAGCTATAAGGTTTAGTCCCTAAGTTCCTCACCTTATTATAATTTTAATTCCAAATTTAATCTTATCACATAGACACCTTTTAAGAGCTTAAATAATTTATTTAAATCTTAAATAAGAAATCCTTGGGTATTACAAGCCAGATGGTAGCTTCAGCTTTACAAGGATGAACAATAATATCCAGAGGCGTGTCTTCATCCTCACTTCCAAACCTCGGTTGGTCCCACTGTTTTAGGAGAATGTTGGTGAGGTAAGGGTTGGCCATATAATTGCTTGATCGATCTACCTAATCCCATCCATGATGTAAATGGAATGACAGAGCCCTGCTGTGCTGGGATAGGCACTTCCTTCATTTACTTCTGATACAATTCTGCCCTTTTCATCAACATACATGTTCAAAGAAACTTCAGGCAACATTACCTCACCCATCTAGGTTGATTTTGAACCCAATATCTAGCACTAGCAAAAGTAAACAAAACATCAACAATTCTTCCATGAAAGAGTACTACTAATTAATTCTAATTCTATAATTCAACACATATTACATTGCTAGTGAATACTACATCATTAAGCAGACAAAAGCAAGATAGGTAATCTGTTCCTTTAGCCAGTTACAGTAGAAAAAACCCATTATACAGCTACAGCACCCATTGCCATTAGTGTTTTTGCTTCCCGTCCAAACAGTTACAATTCTCACAACAACAACCACCAAGCTTTCTTTCGGCTGGTCCGGGGCCTAAGCCTTTTACAAGTTCTTCCATTGGGTTGGATTGGATTTGTTTGGGGAGAAGTGAAACCTATTACTTAAAAATATCATATTCGTTTGGATAAGTATTAAACTTAAATTACGAGAAAACTAAATAAATAGTTGGTATAAAAATAGTATAATTATAAGTATCAAACTAGATCACATGTATAGGGGTTTAAAATTTTTTACTCAAAATGTCTACTTGTTTAATTGATATGCTACATGTGCTTATATAATTGAAATTTTAATTAAACTTGTATAAATTAAAGTACGTAATAGGTAATAATTTAATATTCATATAAGAACAATAATTTTTAACAAATAAAATATAAAAAATAAAAGTTAAGTCACAAACCCTAACAAAAAATAGCCAAAAACATAAAGCAACAACTCCTTCAAGACTTCAATCATCGTGTCATTTCCCTCGCACTCTATTGCTCACGCAAAAGGAAGTAGAAGCCATGTTTAGGAAGAGGGTGCTTGCGAATAGAACAAGGAATGTGAAATCAAGTAAGGCCCTTGCCAAGCCATTTTCCTCATTTTTATTTTCATATCTTTCTATATGTTTTGTGATGAGATGCATTTTATATACTTAATATATTTTAGTGTTGATTTTGTTGCTATTTGAATGAATAATATATGATTTCGAATAGATTTTACATTATTTTCATTTTTTTGGATAGAGTCAGCAGTGAGCCCCTAGGTTTTTGCCTTCTACTTTCACATTCTACTACCAACCGTATCTTGTATGCCTGGAACACCAAAAAAGAGACATCATCATGTGGTGACGCGTTAAATCAACAAAATCCACGTTAGACCGGCTGTCCAATGAGAGCTCACCTACATCTTTTTAAATTTTTTGTCATGGGGCGGGTTCGAAACCCGTTCAGAAGGGATCGGATATGCACTTTTTCAATAACAATAGTTATTGAACTACAAGGGTCAAGTGCCTACATCTTTTAAATAAAAAAAAACATAAAACCTAACATAATTAAATTTTAAATTAATCAAAATACTGTAGGGTTAATGCCAATTATTGTCCCTCTACTATCCAAAATAGTTCAATTTAAACCTTTTACTTTTAAGTCATCTCATGTCCTCCCTCTACTATGAATCAACTACACATGTCCTCCCCTTACGATTGGAAAATGTATTGATGTCGTCCCTTCGTCCAAGTTCCGTTCAATTTTGGGTTAACGGGATGGTTTGTTGACGGTTAATGTTAACCTGTTTAGACATCCAACTGCTTTTTTATTTGTTTTTTGCCACTTGACCTCTGTGCGCCCCACCAATACCATATCAGATTCCTTTTGGGCTTCTTCTTTCTACGCGAAGTTGCTAGACTTCCCATCCCCTGTTCTTCACGCGGACTTGAGAATTAAGTTTCAATAATTATTGCCTCCAAATTTCCATTTTGTTAGTTTGTTATAATATGTTTGATTGAAGGTAATGAAAGAGATAAAGAAGATTTTATAATCGATTACTCATTTTATTTTAAAATGATTGTTAGTTTATTATCATTATTATTATTATAAATTTATTTT